TTACAACTCTACACCTGGGGAAGGCTCAATGGATGCTCAGTGTTGGATACAGAGATAGAGCCAGGGCCATCTGGCATTTCTCAGCCACCAGAGAGGCAGGTGTCTTTGGAGCCAGGGATGAGTAAGGAGGAAGAACAGCTGGGACCTGTTCCAGATGCACATATGTGTAGAGCAGATAGGAGAGGTGAACAATGGAAGACAAGGAGTCGACTCTGGAAGCAAATCAAACGTGGACACTGAATGGCCCCTCCCTGGCTGAGGAATAAATAGAAGGAAAGGGGAATGGTAGGAGACAACAGTTCGTATTTCAAGAGAGTTCGCTCATTGTATTTAGGGCAACAAATACTGCCTTGCCAAAACTTAATTTGCAGCCTTTTGGGGCTCACGGCAATTATCATAATGAACTGATAAGGTCTATTGCTGCAGTTAATTCCTTGCAATTAATTCACAACAGATAAATAGTTTTTCTTTGCGAGGAGTCTGTTTCTTCCTTCTCACAAGACTGGGTCAGAACAATATATTTTCTTTTGTTCTTTCAATTTCTTGTTCTTTTTGAGGATCATGTTAACTCCATCCAACCATATCTTTCTTGATTTTCCTCTCACTCCGTTCACTCTTTCTTCATATCTTTGTTTAGCAGTGTGACCCCTTACTAATTTCTCCTACATGACCAAAGTATCACAATATGTATTTTTCCTAGAGATCTCTTTTCTATTTGATTCATCCATTCAGCACTGATTGATTGTTGACTGTATTAAGAACTTCACTCTCATCCTGCTGCTTCCCTTCTGGCATATTCAGCTTTCATTTCCATATAAAATGTAGGCAGAAATCTACATTAATGTGTATCCATTTTATGTCTTTCAAGAGACATTCTGATAGTTGAAGATATGCTAGTATTTTTTTCAACATTTGCACATCTTAAAATTTGCCCATTTCTCTATATTTAACAACCATCAAGAATGCAAATTCATCCATTTTTGCCATTTCTGAATAATTTACAATTATTAATTTTTGTTGCCAAATGCAAGTTGGTGAATGCAGTTAATGCAATTTGATTTCTGATAGAGTGTTTAGAGCCTTAGTTCTTATTGCATCATATACTCTGTCTAATATTTGTTGGAAATAATTTGTGCACCCAAAAGTGTACATATATTAACGACGCCAAACTACACAATTGTAATAATAATTTCAAGCATTATCCATGAATGCATTAAGCAATCAAGGGGAGGTCACACATTCTTGTCTTACTTCCTGTCTAGTGTTGAATGATTAGTTAAGAATTCGTTTATAAAATTACAGTTGGGCAATCAACCTTCCTATTTTATAATTTTATGTTTTTTATTATTTGTTCCTGTTACATTCCAAGGTACAGTGTTTGATAATCATTGATCACCATTGGATGAACCCATGTATGTTGCTCTCTGCCATCCAAGTTTTGATCAGTCCAGGTTTTTAGATACTGTAATACATTTTAATAAGTTGAAAAAGATGTAAACCATATTTCCTTCTGAGTCACACCATGCCACATGCTTATAGTATAGAAACTTATGATCAGTTTTGCAATATGCTGGCCAGTCTAACAGAGAGACTTCCTTGTAAACCAATACAGGTAGTCCTCAATTTATGACCACAATTGAGCCCAAAATTTATGTTGTGTTAAGTGGGGCATTTGTTAAGTGAGTTTTACCCCATTTTGTGACCTTTCTTGCCACATTTGTTAAGTGAATCACTGCAGTTGTTAAGTCAGTCACACGGTTGCTAAGCGAATCTCACTTTCCCATTGACTTTGCTTGTCAGAAGGTCGCAAACGGGGATCACATGCCCCTGGGACATGGCAATCGTCATAAATATGAGTCAGTTGCCAAATGCCTGAATTTTGATCATGTGACTATGAGGTGCAACAGCCATAAGTGTGAATAGTCATCACTTTTTGCAGCACCATTGTCATTTCAAAACATCACTAAATGAACTGTTGTAAGTCAAGGACTTATTTTCTGTATTCCACGAAACAGAAGATTCTTATAGTATACTGCCACATACACAAATCCTGAGTTATTATAAGGTTTCCAAAAGTCATACTAGTAGAATCTCACTTTGAAATCTTGTGAAGTCTGCCATGAGAATGCTAAAATTGTACAAGGTTTATTCAATATTTAAAATTATTATTTTAATTCACTTTGCAAGGTCTGTGGACAATATTTGAGATAGTACTGTATTTCCAGGGATCCACATTTTTTGTGTAATAAATAACTCTGGGCTACATGAACATTTTGAAACAATTCTCCTAAATGAATTTTTCTTTTTAAAATTAGTTTTCCTTTTTTTTCCTTTGTATACTTTTAATACATTAAAAAGGACAACCAAGCCCCCACCTGAACAGAACACACCTCCAGCCAATCAGAACACAGCCAAGCCCCCACCCAATCAAGTCACACCCCCACTAGCAGTTAAAAGGAAGAAGCAGCTGCAATCTCACATCACTCTGAGAAGCACAGAGCCGAAGACAGAAGCCTGAAGATGATGAATGAGACTTCATCGAAACGTTGCCTAGATACTTCGAATCTTACGCGGGAGAAAACCCGAACAACCAAAGATCCATATATATATATATATATATGTATGTATGTATGTATGTATATATCCTTAAGTTTTCGCGGGTACTTACATGTATGGCATTCAGCTTTGTTCGGGTATTTTCCCACGTCATTGTAGTTGTGCTTTTAAAGTTGTAGCAACGTTTCGGCAGAATCTCATCTGCCATCATCAGGCTTCTGTATAGTGTTCATCTGTGAGTCAGGCTTTTACAGTGGTTTCAGATTTAAATTTGGGGCAGCCTATTGCTGTGCCAGAATGGTTTTTTCTTCACCCTGATTGGTTGGGAGTCTTGGTCTGTGCTTATTGGTCTTGGAGTTTGCTGTGTTCTGCTTGTTTGGTGCTTGATTGATTGGTCTGTGCTTATTGGTCTTGGAGTTTGCTGTGTTCTGCTTGATTGGTGTTTCTAATATCTTCTGTATGTTTTTTGGCTCTTTTTGTATCTTGATTGGCTGGCAACATTGTGTTACTTTATTGGAGGCCTTTAGTGCAGCTTGGCTCTGAGTAAATGGACGGCTATCATTTATTGGGAAGCTAGGTTTCATCTGGGTGCCTGGTTGGGGTGTGTTTGAGCTGGAGGTATCAGCGGGGATCTGTCTGTGCCCAGGTGTTTGCCTGGCTTGTGGTGTGGAGATTTTTTTGTTTGTGAGTGCAGGCTTCCAAATGATTGACAGTCTGGTGGAATCATCTCACATACATATATACATACATACGGTATTTGGCTTTGTTCAGGTATTTTTCCACGTCATAGTAGTTGTGCTTTTTAAGTTTAGTAGTTAAGCTTTTAAAGTTGTAGCGACGTTTCAGCAGAATCTCATCTGCCATCATCAGGCTTCTGTATTGTGTTCATCTGACAAACACTATACAGAAGCCTGATGATGGCAGATGAGATTCTGCTGAAACGTCGCTACAACTTTAAAAGCACAACTACTATGACGTGGGAAAATACCCGAACAAAGCTGAATGCCATACATGTAAGTACCCGCGAAAACTTAAGAATAAATATATATATATACACACACACACACACACACACACACATACATATATACATATACATACATATACATACATATACATATACATGGTTAAATCAGGATTTATGGCTTATAAAAGTCCCCTTTAATTAATAAACTGTGGTTAAACAATGGCAGAGCCCACCCACTATGACAAAACCCAAGGTAATGGTTTATAGCTTCCAAAACTAGGATTATAAATCATGCACAGGTTTGTATATTGTTCATCCAATTAGCCAGGAATTTTGGCTTATCTTTGCATCATTTAAATACTGGTTCCAAATTGGATACAAAGATATTATGATCAGCTCCCTGCTGAAACAATTACAAGTGAGAAGGAAAACACTGGTGTAAAAAACAAATTTAAATGTATGCTGGACTATTGAATATAGGTATTAACTATTGTGAGTGTGGAAAGTACATATATGACACATTCAATACTCCCTCTTGTTTACTTGATTTTTCTAGTTCCTAACCTGATTTCAGAGCAAGAGGTTATTTTGGGTTGCCCAGCAAAAAAGCAACCCTAGGCGAGGTGACCTTTTATAAAATGGAGATGAGGTAACATGAACCAGAGACTAAATTTAGAAATCTACACACACTTGATGCACATATTTCTGCACACTTTGGTATGTGAAATGAGTGGACAAGAGGTGATGACATCATGGTTAAAACAGGTCTGAGTGTTGAAGGAGACAAAGAGTGTTTTGGAGGTCAGAATGTATGGGGTCCAATGAAAACGAGGAGAATTTGACCGTTAAAAATAAGTTACTGAGATATTCTCATCAGATTTGGAAGTCTGTAAAATCTGAAGTGATCTAAGCCACCTTACATATACAGATTGCAAATTAAATGTATACATAAATAGTTTTAAGAAGTTTATTTTGTAATACCATTGATAAACCTAATTAATATAAATTGGGGCCTTGAAGTATTTCACCGTCTGAAGAAAAATTGGGATATTTCTAGCACACAAAACAAAAAAAACAAGGTTTGAATCTGTAAATAAGAAGAGCTGAAAATTCAGATGATTTAAAGTATATAGAGAACTTCCTTAGATAGAATCCCCTTCTTTTTTTATTCCTTGTTCTGATGCTTATCTTTTTTTGCTGTATGCAATGTGCAGATTCACCATTTCTTTTTTTCCTGAAATTGTAAAACATGTAATGTTCCTTCAAGAATCTAAGAGACAAAATGCTTGTTCATCATTCTAGAACATAATCTTATGAGATATTATTAAGTTGATGATAAAACTTGCTCAACTGAGTACTGACCTTTACGATTGATGCTTTGTTGGTTGTGCTTCACAGAATATCTCTGGATTTGATATGAAAATGTCAATTCATACCTCTCCTATTCATTCATCTGCTGTCTCTAACTTCTTTCTAGGTTTACTTTGGCCGCTGGCTGATTGAGGGGGGTCCATATGTAATCCTCATCGATATTGGGGCAACCGCTTGGAGCTTGGATCGCTGGAAAACTGAATTGTGGGAAAGCTGCTCCATTGGGATTCCCTGGTATGACCGAGAGGCCAATGATGCCGTCCTCTTTGGTTTCCTCACAGCCTGGTTCCTAGGGGAGGTAAGGGAACATGTTTCTGTCAGAAAATATCTTCTCTTCCTGTCACCCAACATCTTTCTCTTCACTCTCCTCTTGTGCTTTTTGTACAGTTTTCTGCACAATGTGAAGAAAAGCCATTCATCATTGGTCATTTCCATGAGTGGCTGTCTGGTGTTGGCCTCTTCCTCTGTCGGATCCGGAAACTTCCAATAGCTACCATCTTCACCACCCATGCTACCCTGCTTGGTCGCTACCTGTGTGCAGGCAGTGTGGACTTCTACAACAATCTGCAGACTGTGAGTCTTCTAATCTCTAGGACTGAAAATCGATTGGTGGGTGGGGTGTGAAACTATGGGATCCAAGAACAAGAGGAAGAAATAGGAATTCCTGGAAGTGTGGCACTCAGACAAATCAGCCATCAACAGGCACAAAGGTATAAACAACATCTCCATGCCATTCAAAAGAGACAATCAAAAAGCTAAAAAGGAAACAAAATGACCAAAACAGCTTTTTGCCTGCCTTCAGTACTTGGATAAGTATAAATTAACACCAAAATTTATACTAGATCAACAATCAAGCAGTAAGCAATACTCCACTCAAGGAACTACCAACTCAGACAAACAGTAAACAGCAACCTAATCAAGGGGCCACCAAGACCATTTCCACCAAATACAGTCAGAGCAAGTCACTTGTACAGAAACAGAGAGTAAGCTCAACTTCTTGTAGCCCTGATGATGTTACCTAGTATAGTAAGAAAACCACCAAGCTCAGAGAATACGAAGGATCCTACAGTTCAACCCTGAGCTACAAATATTCTGTTTCGTTTGGTAGAAATGGGAAGTTCTGACTATCCTGTTTTTGCCCTTTTTTTCTGAGTGCTTTGGGCTGTTCAGGGAATAAGAACTTTTCTTTCAACTACCCTCAATTCTGCATCAGCAGGCTGAAGTTCTTATCTTCCCATCCCTCAAAATTCCTGCATAGGAAGTGGCAATACAGTGCTTTAAAATTCCTTGTAGGTGTCCAATGATTGCTGTGCCAGTTAAACAGATCTTAAGAAGCAGCTGCAATCTCACAAGGTTTCTGTTCTTATATGAGAGAGATTTCAAAGTGCTTTTATTTTTAATTGAGAGAGCAAATTATTGCCTGATGTGCCTGACCCTTGCCCTCGCAGCTTTTCATTCAAAACTTAGCACATAAATGAAGCAGTTCTAGGAAACAGGAACCATTTTTCCTTAAGGAAACAGTGGTCAAAGAAATCACACTTAACCAGCCCTTAAGTAATATTTTTACTGCATGGAAAATATGATTCAGTGCTTCTCCCCACCATGTTATGACCCCTGTGATAATTAGTGTTTTGGAAATACATCTATCGGATCATCCTGAATAACCAGTGGACATTACCTGAAATATTATTATATTATATTACATTGAATACAATAATAAGATCTTGTCATTTGCCCTTGATTTCATTTCCAGTCTATTTGGTAGGCATATTTAGACTACTATCAGTAAAGACGTAAGGATGAAAATTTGGTTAGAACAAAAATGAAACACAGATAGTTCTCGACTTACAACAGTTTGTTTAGTGACTGTTCAAAGTTACAATGATACTGAAAAAATGTGATTTATGACTGTTTTAAAGCAATAGTTTGTTGTGTACTACTGAATCAAAGGCTTTGCAGAAGTCTATGTAAATTGCATCTATTGCTTTACTCTGGTCCAGATGTGTGTTCCAAATGTTTCTGCAGAGTAGGAGTTGCAGATTACAGGGCAAATTTTTCCTGAAACCAAACTGCTTGTTAAAAAGTAGGTTGTTTGTATAGGGTGATGGATTGGTTTATAATTGATTCCATGACTTTACAGGTGATGCAACACAGTGAGATTGGTGTATAATTTTCTACTAGACCTTTTGAAAAGCAAAGTCAGTGGGAAGCCAGATTCACTTAACAACTGTATTACTAAACAACTACAGTGATTCACTTAACAACCAAGGCAAGAAAGCTAATAAAATGGGGCAAAACTCAATATATGTCACACTCAACAACAAAAATGTTGGGCTCAATTATGGCAGTAAATTGAGGACTACCTGTAGTTGGAACTGGATTAATGAGAGAAAATACTAAAAAAAAGCTACCCTCGGTTTTTCAGTCTAGGAGCCCATTTGTTAGCACTCATTTGGGGATTACAGAAGAGTTTTACAAAGAAAAAATGTAGAATTAAGTTCTTAGAATCTTGGAAATCAGACTACTGGATTGCAGTCTCCTTTGTTCAACCTTTGATATACTACAGGTAGGCTTCAGCTTACAAAAGTTCATTTAGTGACCATTCAAAGTTACAAATTCACTGAAAAAAGTGCCATCTGATCATTTTTCACATTTAATGACCATTGCAGCATTCTCATGATAATGTGATCAAAATTTGGCAGCTGATTCATATTTATGACAGCTGCAGTGTCCCAAGGTCATGTGATCACCTTGTACGACTTTCTGACAAGCAAAGTCAGTGGGGAAGCCAGATTCACTTAACATCCATGTTATTAACCTAACAACTGCAATGATTCACTTAACAATGATGGCAAGAAAGGACATAAAATGGAGCAAAATTTACTTAACTGTTTCACTTAGCAACAGAAATTTTGAGCTCAATAGTGGCTGTAAATTGAGGACTACCTGGACTGTAATTTAGTCTGAAAGCTATATTCTTTCCTACTTCTACTCTGTGCAATTCTGTGTGTTTCAGGATATTTATTATACTTTGTCTTTTACCCAGTTTAATGTGGATAAGGAGGCTGGAGACCGCCAAATTTACCATCGTTATTGTATGGAGAGAGCTGCTGTCCACTGCACACATGTTTTTAGCACAGTTTCTCAAATCACAGCAGTAGAAGCTGAACATCTGTTGAAACGGAAACCTGGTGAGTTAACGTTAAAAGCTAAAAGATTGCTCTGTATGACAAGATCCTATCCAGTTTAAGCCTTGTCTGGATTTATGAACGTACCGAATAATATTACAAGGAAATCAGTTGCTTTGTGTAGAATGCAGAATCTCAAGTTTTGTAGTTTTTAATTAAATTTTCTAGTCCTTAAATAATACTAATTAGACTGTTGGTGCAAATTATACATCGAAGCTTGATGTTTAATCTTAGTTTTTTTCTCAGATAGAAAGAATATCCCAATATAAAATAACCATTATAAAATTCATGTAAAAAATTCTTAAAAGTATTTTTAATCTTAATATGCACTTTGAATTTTTGATTGCATCCAATTTTTTTTAAAAGGCTTATTCTTTTTCAGACTAAAGAGAGGGATGTGGGGCGAGAATTTCTATTCTTATTTGCACCAAGATTATTAGTCCTGATTGGTTGACTCCTTATGAGGTCACAAGACCACTCCCATTCCTTCTCCTTGAGGTCTGTTTTATCCCATCCATTGTTACACTTTGAACCAGTTGCAATCAAATGCATTGATCAATTGTATTTCCAAGGATGTTTGAGGAAGCTGAATGCATCTGAAAAAACACCTGCTGTGACTCATATGTGTTTTTCTGCACACGTATCTTGGCAGTTTGGGTAAATTCAGAAACTTAAAGTTCTAAAACTCCTCACTTTTTACAAAACCATCTCCATTTACATTCCACACCCAGATATTGTGACTCCCAATGGTTTGAACGTCAAGAAGTTCTCTGCTATGCACGAATTCCAAAACCTCCATGCCCAGAGCAAAGCTCGTATCCAGGAGTTTGTCCGAGGCCATTTCTATGGGTGAGTTATCATGAGCTTCACTTGTATCTTATCAATTATAACAGGTTTCCCTATGAAGTTGAGTTCTAAGGGAAAAAATTGAAGCTAGTAGTGACAAGTGATGTAAGAATATCCATGAATTAAAAGCAAATGACTATTTGTGCTTCATTCATCTTCCACAATGTTGTTTATCATAGCACACCTTCAAGTGTAGAGTGAAAGCTTAGAGTTCTTCCTTTTAAAAGAGTATATGTGACTGTAGAAGAAGATGCAGAGACTGGGGTGGAGTCAAGAGAGGAATTAATCTGGTGTCGTTATGTGCCACAAATTATCCAAGTCCAGGCCCCTTAAAGTCTATTACTGTTATCTAGCACCAATTTAATGTTGACTGTTAGTTGACTAGATTCTTGTGTGCAGGCGTGAGCAATAAATCTTACCTGGAATTTAGTGTGTGGTCCTGATTTTTCACACCTGACAATGACTCAGTTTTGGTCTCCACTTTTTAGATGAAATAAGTTTCCTGTATGTGGAGACAGAGATGCCACTTTGACAGCATACAAAAAGGGAAAATTGGATGAGGGAGGAGCTCTCACAGGAAGACAGAATATAAATTAATGAAATAATAATAATGTTAATAACATTTGAAGAAAAGTAAGGGGAATGAGCAGATGTTTTTGCTCAAGGCTGACAAAGGTATAGAAAACTTTTGAGGTATAAAATTTTTTCCAGGACTCATGTAAGAGAAGAATCATTTGTTGTTAATAAAGAATAAGTTTATAAGTGACTAAGTAAAGAACTATTGCTTTCTTATTCAGCATACAGGCATCTGTGCATTAATGGAAACTAGACACTGCATTAGAAATACAGATAGTCCTCGATTTACGGCCACAATTGAGCCCAAAATTTCTTTTGCTAAGTGAAACAATTGTTTAGTGAGTTTTGCCCCATTTTACAACTTTTTTTGCCGCAGATATTAAATGAAGCACTGCTGTTGTTAGGTTAGTTGTCAAGTGAATCTGGCCTCCCCATTGAATTTACTGTCTAAAAGTTGCAAAAGGTGATCGTGTGATCCTGGGACATTGCAACTACCATAAATATGAATCAGTTGCCAAGTGCCCAAATTTTGATCATGTGACCGAGGGGAATTCTACAATGGCCGTAAGTGTTAAACATGATAATAAGTCTCTAGATGAATGGCTGTAAGTCGAGGATTACCTGTACACTTTGTTCAGTCCAGCAAGTTGTCCTTCAGATATTAAGTGCTGTCCTATAGAAATGATTTCAGAATTTATGTTTCACAGCCATTATTCCTATATTTTAACCTTGCATTTTCATGCATTCCATATGTTCCCAAGGCAATTGACTGTGGATCTCTATTTGCTTCTGTTTAGCTCCCTGCATCTGACACAGTTCTGACATTTTTCCTGTTCTTTTTTCTTATTTTCTTGTCCACGCTCCTTTCTGTTTTTATTGCACTGAAAACCTACAGAAGGGCTCCATCTCTTTTTTGTTTGTTTGTTTTTCCATTTTGCATTCATATTTTGCATGATGACTTAATGTTACAAAATAATACCATTGTGATTAGAATTCAGGGAACTATTAAAATGTTCAAAAAAAGGATTTCAGCCAGCTGTGCAGAATGTGTGTGTGTCTGTGTGTGTGTGCAAGCGTGCAAGCACGCACACACATCCTGTATATATACATATATACATGTACCTGTATACACACCCACACACCAACTATTTTGAAACACACAGACACACATACTTCATTTTAAAACAATTGATTTTGAAGACTCACAGCTTTTTAAGCATTCACATTGATCCGACCTATTAAAAAAAGGCATTTCCAAGTAGTTTATTAAGAAGAGTGTGTGATGTTACCAGAAAAGTATCAACATTGAAGGATGATTGTATTCTGGTCCATACAGATTTGGAAAGTGCAAATTTTATTCTTTCATTTAAACACCACACCAAACTCATTTTGATTTCTTCTCGCTAGGGCGTACAATAATTTCTGTTGAATGTAGTGGCACTTGCCTCTTCATCTTGGGTGGGATGATGTTCCACCATTTCCTATGGATTCCCTGAACTATTTTTTCAATGTTGTGGTTTTTGATATAAGCAGCATTGATATTTCTAATGTACTAGTGCGTTTTTTTGTATTTAGCCAATTTACTTGCCTTGGCTGTTAAATAACATAGACTTTCTGGTTTTTCAAGAAGCTTGGACTTGGACTCATCTTCACCATCACTGCGTGTTATTTTTCTAGGCACCTGGACTTCAACCTTGACAAAACTATTTTCTTCTTCATTGCTGGACGCTATGAATACTCCAACAAAGGAGCTGACATTTTCTTGGAAGCCCTAGCCAGGCTCAACTACCTACTAAGGGTGATTAGTAAAATGGGTGCTGTAAGGGAATAGAGATGTGAGAGAGGGTGGGGGTAGGCAATTAGGTATGGCTGTGTTGGGAGAGTATGCCCTACAACAATGCTAGGCCCCTGACTGGAACAACTGTGTGTTTCAGGAGTTAAGTAGCTGTAGCCCAAAGAATCTGGAGGTTATTTTGGGATTTCTCTTCATGCTTACATTGTTGTGCAGATGAAGGACAATGGGAAGGATGACTACAAAAGATACATGTGGATGAAAGCAGGAATAACATATTGGAACAATTTTGTATTAAAGCTGGCAGGAGTGCTAATTGACCCATGTCCTAAGAATACTCCATGAAAAGATACTTACAATAGACGAAACACACACATACACACACACCAGTCTGGCCAGCATCTTCCAATCTGTCCAGCTGAGATTTTCTTAGCCATTCTTTCAAGGAATTCTCCCTTCAGTCAAGCTCTAGGAAAATAGAAAGGAAGAGAGAGGACATACTGAATTTTAGATCTGTATTAGGTGTAGATGTTCACACCACCCTTACTACCACCTAGCTGCATCCTTTCCTGGGGTTGCATGATAGTTTCGTGATTCTTGGAGATCCGTTTAATGGTTACAAGGACATCCCAGGAACATCCCTGATTTATCCATGTATTCATCCAGTTTTCCTCACCTTGCCAAGCATAGTCAGTTTTTGGGGCACTGTTCATTTATCGGCCTGGAGCATGTGAGTGTCTGCTTTCTAACAAGCACCTCATGAGTCCTCATGCTGTAAGATGAATGCAAATGACTTGTGAGAAACCAGCTGCATAGTAGAAGAGGGGGAAAAGATGAATTCTACAAAACAAACTATGAATTCAAATTGATTAAACTTTCTTAACATGGGTCAACTTATCCATTTCTTCAGGAAGCAGTTTTGACCATACTTAAAAGTACTGTGGTGATCTTTCATATCTGGTTTTTGTTGGCTTCTCCCTCTGTAGGTGAATGGAAGCCAGATTACAGTGGTAGCATTTTTTATCATGCCAGCTAGGACAAATAATTTCAACGTGGAGACACTAAAAGGCCAAGCTGTCCGCAAGCAGCTCTGGTGAGTTTGTGTTAGGTTCTGGATCTCATAAATCTGTCCTTTTAACAGGCTTCCTAAGGAATCAGGCAGTGTAGGTGAATGGAATAAAAACCCATTACATCACCCTTCCTGAGCAGGAAAAACAAACTGTCCATACAAGTTCAATGCATTTGAAAAGGATGTGCTGATACAAGGAAAATCACTCAAATGTTACAGTTTGTTCTCTGTACAGGTAGTCTTCAGTTTACGACATACATTTATTGGACATTCAAAGTTAACAATGGCACTAAAATATGCCCAGTCCTTGCACTTAAGGTGATCACAGCATTACCCACAGATAGGTGATGAAAATTTGGGGATATGGCAACTGGAACATACGTACAATGATTACAGCATCCTGGGGTCATGTGATGAACATTTGCCATCTTCTTCGTAGGCTTCTGATCAGCAAAGTCAACAGGCAAAAATGTCGTAAATTGGGCACAACTCACTTAACGCCATCTTGCTTAGCAACAAAAATTCTGGTTTCAATTGGGCTCATAAATCGAGGATTAACTGTACTCAAATGAGAGGATTGCAAGATAAAAGGCAGCAGTGTAGAATTGTTCTTAGGCCTTGTTTAACATAAAGCTTAAGCTTTTAGTCCAATGGGTGTTACAGGTAGTCCTTGACTTACGACCACAAATGAACCCAAAATGTATGTTGCTATGTGAAACATTTGTTAAGTGAGTTTTGCCCTCGTTCTTGCCACAGTTGTTAAGTGAGTCACTGCAGTTAAGTTAATAACACGGTTGTTAAATGAATCTGGCTTTCCCATTGACTTTGCTTGCCAAAAGGTCACAAAAGCTGATCACATGACTCCAGGACATTGCAACCATCATAAATATGAATCAGTTGCCAAGCTTTTGAATATTGATCATGCGACGTTAGGTATGCTGTAACAGCCATAAGTGGGGAAAACGGTCTTATGGTAAATTCCTTTTTTCTGTGCCATTGTAACTTCCAACAGCCCCTAAATGAATTTTGTACCTGTATACAACCTACCTCAGAGAGTAAATGTTATGGGGATAAAGCTAGTGGGTGAGACCCCTCCCTTAAATTGCTGTGAGATTTAAAAAAAAAAAGGCTGGATAAAAATATACCACATAGTCATGAAAGATTTCCATAATTCTCCGCCATTTTGGCCTTCAGCTATATAGTTTATGAGCTATAAAGTCCATTCTTTTCCTGAAGCCTCAGAACAGGGAAGGTATCTCCCTACCTGAAGAAATACCAATATTGACATATTTCTCCAGTCCGTTAGGTCTGTCTGAACTCTCTCTAGGGAGAAAACCCCAAAAATGCTGGAAGCCATTTTTCCTAATCCTTGATTCAGAAGCAAGGATTTGATTCAAGGAATCCTAGGTTGTGTCACAAATCATAAATTTCTTTCTCCTTTCCCTCCCCTCCGCCTTTTCCCCCTTTTTTAACTCTAGGGACACAGCCAATGCAGTGAAGGAGAAGTTTGGCAAAAAGCTGTACGAATCCCTCCTCGTGTAAGTCTCGTAGGCGAGAAGAAATATGATAAAGGGCTGAGCATCTGAGAATGGGCTGCTGGGTTGCCATGGTTACAGAGAATGGGAGCTTCTTCTCTTTACCTTGTCTCTTCTGAGAAATAATGATTTGATAGAAGCCTATTTCAGAAATCTTGGTTCCCATATAAAAACTAGAATGCGTGTCCAAGTGAAAAGCAGTATTGTAAGTGTTATTCATTAATTTCCACATTATTCACTGCCTGCCTGCTTTTCTAATTCAGGGGCAACCTTCCTGACATGAACAAAATGTTGGACAAAGAAGATTTCACAATGATGAAGAGAGCCATCTTTGCCACTCAGGTATGGGACATGAGGAAAATGAGTCTTGAAAAACATTGGTTATGAAAAACGAGTTTATTTCACATTAATAATACAGGTACTCCTCAACTTACAACCATTCATTTGGAGACAATTCAAAGTTAACAACAATGATGAAAAAAGTGATTTGTGACCAGTCTTCACACATATGACCATTGTGGTATCTCTGATCAAAATTCAGGCACTTGACAACAGGCACTTACAATGGTTGCAGCATCCTGGGGTTGTTTGATGGCCATTTGCAAGCTTCCAATAAGAAAAGTCAATGGAGGAAGCCAGATTTGTTTAACAACTACACAATTCACTTAGCAACTACCTTGATCTGCTTAACAACAGGGGGGGGGAAGGTTGTAAAATTGGACACAACACACAACCCCTTTGCTTAGCAATGGTAATGCTGGTCCCAATTGTGATCATGTTGAGGACTACCTGTAACTATTTATTTGCTCATCTCACACAAAGTGATTCTGGACTGTTGCAATTAGTCTGAGAGTCTCTTAGAAGGACATGTTGCTAGATGAGTGGGAGCACAGGATTCTGGGAGTCTGGATCTAAATTCCTGGGTTATAGGTTGCTTTAATTCAGCCCTCCCAGTATTGGCTGTGTGGACTTCTGACTCTCGGTTTTATGTTTGGCCTGCTGAGAAGAAGAAGCAGAGGCAGCAATAAAGCTTAACAAGCTTTATTGTTAATTTGTATCTCAGCTGCGGATAGCTGCGAGCTTGCGATAGCTGAGTGAGAGAGACAGCGGATTCCGTTTGATAGCTCCTTTTATACGGAGCTGTCAAACAGCTCAGTCAATCAGAGCCTTCTCCAGCTCCCGCTTAAACAGTAGACCGGAGTGAGGACTTGCTGGTCGCAACACTCCTTCCCCCTGGAACTGCGCATGTATAGTTGTCCAGATAGGCGGGGCGACGCTTTACTTGCCCAGATCACCTTAGTTCAGCAATCGGCGGCAATGGGGACGGATCTGTTGCTGGAGTGGTGCCTTCTACTTGGGGCAGTGTCGTCTCCCCTTCCCTGACGATCTCGGCTGGCCGAGGAAGGACCTCGGGTGTCGATGGGACCTCTTCGGATGTCAGTGAGCGGGCTCCGGTCGTCGTTTCCCCAGGTAAGGTCTCCGCGAAAGACCGCTGGTCGGGAGTCGGTCTTCAAGCGGCTTCGATGTTGCCCCACTCAGTGTCCTTGATCTCGGCCTCCCTCTGAACTGGACCTGTAAGGGCACTCTCACTGGCTCCTCAGCTGGTTCACGTGTCGGCGCCACAGTCTTCCATCAGCCAACCTTACCCTGTATGATTTAGGGCCTGTTTTCTGTTCTACCCACCCGGGCAACCATAGGAGATTTCCCGCGTAATTGTGGTAGTAGATTGGGTCCCCCAGCCTAAAGTCCCTTGCCCTGCTGGATGAGTCAAGGGGTGCCCTGGGAGCATAAGTAGGGTACAGCCTGTCGAGGGTTATGTGAAGTCTCCTTCCCATTAATAGTTCAGCTGGGGTGAGGTTGGTGGCAGTGCTTGGGGTGGTGTGCTGATTAGTAAGTACCAGGCTACCCTGGTAGACTAGTCCCCTTTTGCCATTCTCCCCAGGGCTTCTTTAGCTGATCTTACAGCCCTCTCTGCCAGGCCATTGGAAGCTGGATGAAAAGGGGAAACCAGGGCATGTGTGATACCTCTTTGGGCCAGGAATAGTTCAAAGGGAGAGGAGGTGAATTGGGGTACATTATCTGAAATCAGGGTGCCTGGGTACCCATGGGATGCGAAAATGTTGTCCAAGGCCCTGCTTACAGCTTCTGAAATGGTTGATTTGAGGAGAACCAGCTCTACCCACTTGGAAAATGAATCAACCAGGACTAAGAAGTTTTCCCTTGCATGGGGCCTGCTAAATCCACCCTACGCCAAGGTGTTTTGGTATCTTCCCACTCCCCGGAGTGGCTGTTGGTGGAGCAGGTCTGGACATCTGGCAGATGGAGCAACTTTGAACTTTATTAGTAACTGCCTCATCCAGTCCTGGCCACCACATGTAGCTCCTGGCCAGAGCCTTCATTCTGTTGATACCTGGGTGACCCTCATGGACTACTTCAATGACACGCAGTCTTAGCAGGTGTGGAATAATTACTCGGGGTCCCCACAGTAAACACCCCTTTAGCACGTTTAGGTCTGTCTGGCGTGCCTTGAAGGAGTCGAAATCCACTGTCGGGGGCTCCCTGGGCCACCCAGTCCATAACTTGGGATAGCTGTGCATCTCTGGTGGAGGCGTAGGCGATGTCATCAGCCGTGAGAGGCAATTGTAGATCTTCCAGCAGGAACATGGAGGCTGAAGGGGCAGGGGCAGTGACCAAAATGGGTAATGATCATCTGCTTGGTCATCAGCATGTGCTGATGCCAGGCCTGTAAGTCAACTTGTAGCTGTAAGCTGTAAGCTCTTTTTGTAGTGACTTTAACTGTGTGGTGCTCTCTCTCTCTCTGCCTCAGGATTGCCTCAGTTTGTCAGCGATCCTATCCTCGTCACCAATTTTGTGTTTGGCGCACTGAGAAGAAGAGGCAGAGACAGCAATAAAACTTAACAGGCTTTGTTGTTAATTTGTATCTCAGCGAGCTTGCGGCAGCAGCTGAGAGAGAGAGACAGCTGATTCCGTTTGACAGCTCCTTTTATACGGAGCTGTCAAACGGATCAGCCAATCAGAGGCTTCTTCGGCTCCCACTTAAACAGCAGACCTGAGTGAGGACTTGCTGGTCGCAACACTCAGGATTGTCAGCAATGACCACTCTGGCTCTGGAGATAGAAAAGACTCTTGTGATTGAAGCAATATTTTAGAACAGAAATCATAAGGATGTTGGATTTGTGCTAAATCAAGATACCTTGGTTTCTAAACTTCTCTTAGAAAAAAAGAAAAAAAAAAGAATACTATTTGGGGTTTGAGGAAGGATCTTCTGTTTAGTATAAAATAACATTTAATCTTAATTCCACTTCTTCTCTCCATCTGGAAGTTTACAGTTCAGTCTCTGGTTTGCCATCTCAGTGATGGTTGCACTTAAGTAGAAAATAAGCCAGGATATTCCAATATAAGGTCAAAAACACCACACTGATATGTGTGGAGATGGGAGGCCTGTCTTTCTTTCCAGGCTTCTGAATGAGGAATAAAATCTCCCAGAAATATGGATGTCACCCACTCTCCTGGGGTTCCAGAAGTCCTTAAAATCTGGTCAATTCTCAGGCCTGGGTTAGTGTATCTGGGAAGCCCCAATAATGTTTTGCGTCATGCTTTTATTGGCATGGTTGGTTTTAATGCAGACTTTCATGTTTCTTTTGTGTGTTTCTTAATTGTTTTCAACTGTTTAATATACCGTAACCCACCCAGAATCAGCTGGAGTGAGTGGCCATAAGAAATGTGATTAAATTTACAACACTGATACATATAAGATTCCTGGTGATAAATTCTGCACATGCCCTACACACACTTCATGTAACACTTCATATTAGAAAGGAAATCCAAAATCATCTTTCAGAAAACATATGAGAAAAGGAAAAAGAAAGATTATCTGTAAATATAGTGTGATTCCTTCAAATAACCATAATGTATTGCCCTGTCAAATTTGTACAGAAAGAGAAGCAGAAAAAACATAGGAGCAATCTTGGATTCTGTTTAACAAGTGAATATATAGGCTTTGCTTCTCTTCCAGGCTTAAGGTTTTAAATCTGAGTTGTTAACATCTGTCTGGATTTTTTTCCCTCTTCAATCAGCGGCATTCTTTCCCCCCAATCTGCACTCACAACATGCTGGACGATTCTACTGACCCTATTCTCAACACCATCAGGCGCATTGGTCTCTTCAATAGCAGTGCCGACCGCGTCAAGGTGAGTAACAGGTGCTTGTCCATGCCAGGCGAGGGGAGAAATTTGGGGGGGATATTTGCAGTACAGTATTTTTAAAAGCATTTTAAAATATTATAATTTCCTGCATTTTTAAGATATTGCTGGAAATCATAATACTTTTAAGGTTTTATTTTTATTATATTAGAATTAGAATTCTTTTATTGGCCAAGTATGATTGGACACACAAGGAATTTGTCTTGGTGCAAATGCTCTCAGTGTACATAAAAGAAAAGATACATTCGTCAGGAGTATAAAATACAATGAAGAGAAGAAAAGAAAAAAAAGGAAGTTAAGGGAAGGGAGCCAGGGGGAAAGGGGTGTGAGATACAAGGGGAAAGAGGAAAAGGAAGAAAAGAAGCAATTATAATATTTAGTGCCTGATTTTATCTGGTAATTTTTTTCTTTTAATTGTCCTGTCCATGTTTTATTTATTCTTAGGAATCTAAAAATTCAGACTTTTAATAAGCCAAAATGATTGAAGGAAAGAATTATGGTTTGATGTATTCTGAATTTCTTATGTTGTCATTTTTTAAATTCAGGCTCTTTTCTTCTAGTCTTGGTGCCTGTAGTCACTGTGAATAATAATAAGAATTTTTAGTGGATGCAATTTAGATATATGTCCAATGTATTTTAAATGTTTTATTTTAATTGTGTATATGGCCATATTTTACTATGTTTTATAGTTGCCATGATATTATTTTTTCTTTTCATTCTTTATTTCTTTATTCCTAAAACAAAAGTTATCTGTTTATCAGAATTTTGTACTTTTAGTTTGCTTTTTAAGTGCTTATTCCCATGGAATATATTATTTTTTTAAAGAATTCTTTTTTATCATAATCCCCTAAAGACCCATGAATTGAATGCTAGCAGTGTAAACCTGAATCATCTGTATGCACATACATAAAGATACACGTGGATAAAATGAAATATAAAATTTTAAAGATAGTTTTGCTTATAAGAGCAAAAGTGATTTAGATTTCCAAATATATCATCACTGTACCAGTCTATGTTGTTTTATGGCTTTTTTATAATTATTTGTAATAATATTGCAGATAGTTCTCAACTTACAACAACAATTGAGGCTACCACTTCTGTTGCTAAGCAAGACAGTTGACTTTTGCCTCATTTTACAGCCTTTCTTATCATAGTTGTTAAGTGAATCACTGCAGTTGTTAAATTAGAGGCACAATTGTTAAGTGAATTTGGCTTCTCCATTGAGCACAAAACATCGTGGGCTGTTCCCTGATACCACTAGATGACATCGCCAGGGCTCACTGCCTAGAAAAGTGAGGAAAATCCTTAGGGACGACTCACATCCTGGTCAGCAATTCTTCACTCTTCTACCATTGGGTAGGAGACATAAAAGCATAACCAGCAGCACCAACAGGCTGAAGAACAGTTTCTACCTGTGAGCTGTCAGACTTCTGACAGAAAATAACTTCATGTCAACTTATTATGATAGATTTGAGGGGCCGGTGCATTGTGCAACAAGGTTGCATAGTGTAATAAGATTAGGACTGGGTTAGGGGCTTCGGTCCTCACTGTGAGTTGTGTTGGGGGGGTGCACAAAGGAAGGCTCAGCCAATCTCATTGTACAGATGTTGTACTCTGACAATAAAGGTAATAATAAGTTTGATTGTCAAAAGTCTCAAAAGATAATTACATTGCACAACTGTCATAAATACGAATCAGTTGTTCAGCAACTGAATTTTGATCACGTGGAATGCTTCAGTGGTCATGTGAAAAATAGTCATGTCAAATTTTTCTGTTGTAACTTTGAACAGTCACTAAATGTACTGCTTTAAGTCAAAGACTATACCTGTATTGCATTACATTAAATCACTAGAAGTCAGTTATTGAGTTTGATAGTATATAAAGAAATTATATACTCTTTCTTTTTTTACTTTTCTTCTCCCTAGGTCATCTTCCATCCAGAATTTCTGTCTTCCACAAGCCCATTGCTTCCTGTTGATTATGAAGAATTTGTTAGAGGCTGCCATTTGGGGGTGTTCCCTTCCTATTATGAACCATGGGGCTACACACCAGGTAGGTGGGTTGTAAGGGCAGACTGTTGGGTATTGACTCAACCCCTCTTCAAATTAACCACAGGTTGTCAGGGGATCACAGTGTCACCAGGTATGTTTTACACATAATTCTGCATGCATCTTGTTAGTCTTGAGGCCTAGTAACTTTGCTTTCCAAAAGTGATGGAAGGGAAAGAGCCAACATGGTCTTCAGTTTTTCATCTGAAATTCATTTAGTGTATTTTGTCATTGTTTTGGCCCATTGCAAACAATAAGGCCTTTTTTAGCCCTTCACTTACATGTCTTTCCACTTAATTCTGCAAGTGTTTTTCTAAATGATGGCTTTTCCTTCATTTTTCAATTTCAATAGCTCAATGGAGCTATTAAGAATCATGGAGGTATGTGTTTTATATAAAATTAATTAGGAAAACTTTGGCATCAAAACACATTAGAAATAAAACACTTTAGTAGATTGCTAGTGTTTTTAGCCACTTGTGCTTTACTCCAGGTTATTGTTTCCTTCTCTCCCAGTAGTCAATCAGCTTTCTATGCAACTATGCAGTACTCTGCAGTATCACATCACATCATATCATATCATGCAAATCATCCAGAGACACTTAGAGGACTGGCATATGCGCACAAATAGCTCAACTTATATAAGTGGCAGGCTGGCAAACAGTGGCCCAGTGCACATGAGCAGCTTAACTTGTACAACTAATGGGTTGACACACATGCCCAGTTCCTGTCTTCCCCCCACCAGGCCCCCAAGCTGGGCATGTGTGCCAACCACTACTTGTACAAGTTAAGCTTCTCATGTGCACTGGCCCACTGTTCGCCAGCCTGCCACTTGTATAAGTTGAGCTGTTTGTGCGTATATGCCAGCTTGCTAATCGCACGGCCGAGTTCCGAACAGACCACGGCCCAGGGATTGGGGGGCCCTGACCTAGACAGTGAGATAGGTGGTGTATAAATTTGAGTAATAAATAAATAAAATGTGTGAGTAATGATGCTTTCGCTAGAAAAAGATGAAAACTCATCTCTGAACCTCATTAATTGAAGAATGATAGAAATAAGTTTGCATTGTGAATTGTTGCTGAAAATGATAAGTGAATGTAATTTGTGAGGAAAGCACAGTTTTTTGTAATGCCTTAAAGTTTCGGTGATAATAAAATAGCTGTTTACTATACTTAATATAGGGACGTGGCTCAATTGCTAAGAAGCTGAGCTTGTCGATCAGAAAGGTCGGCAGTTTGGCGGTTCAAATCCCTAGCACTGCGTAACAGTGAGCTCCTGTTACTTGTCCCAGCTTCTGCCAATCTAGCAGTTCAAAAGCATGTAAAAATGCAAGTAGAAAAATAGGGACCACTTTGGTGGGAAGGTAACAGCGTTCCATGCACCTTCAGTATTTAATCATGCCAGCCACATGACCATGGAGACATCTTTGGACAGTGCTGGCTCTTCAGCTTTGTAACAGAGATGAGCACTGCCCCCTAGAGCTGGAGACAACTAACACATAAGTGCAAGGGAAATCTTTACCTTTACCTTATTCTTAACATGTACATAAAATCTGTAGGGACTGGAAAGCTTAATAAACTCAACTGAATTGGCCACAAGGTAAATTCTTCAGATAGTGCATCTCGCCGGAATTTAATCCCTCTGTGTCGTCCAATGACCTCTCTCTTATTCTCCAGCTGAATGTACCGTGATGGGGATACCCAGCATTTCCACCAACCTCTCTGGCTTTGGCTGCTTCATGGAGGAACACATAGCAGATCCATCTGCCTATGGTTGGTATCATTGTGGCGCCTCTGGAAACAGGGATTGGCACAATGGGAGCTATGCAACCCTTACTCGACCACAGGATAATTTCTTCAGGCGGATCTTGGGGGGATAATTTTGGTGCCTAGATTAACCTATACATTTCTAGAAGAAATGAATGGGTGAAATAGCATAGCAATAGCACTTAGGTTTATATACCACTTCATAGTGCATTATAGCCCTTTCTAAGTGGTTTACAGAGTCAGCATATTGCCTCCAAAAATCTAGATCCTCATTTTACCAGCCTTGGAAGGATGGAAGGCTGTGTCAACCTTGAGCTGGTCAGGATCAAACTGCTGGTAGTCGACAGAATTAGCCTGCAATATTGCATTCTACCACTGTGCCACCATGGTTCAATAGGTGATCTAGGGTAATTCCATTCTGTCTGTTCTAGCCCAGACCTAGTAATTAAAGCAATGTGTGCTGGGATACAATAGAGCCACCACAAAATTCAAAGATTAGGGAACTTAAGCCATTTCAAACCACTGCCTCAAGTGTGTACTATGGCAAGTGTGTACTGTGTGTGTGTATGTGTGTGTGTGTATATATACACACACACACACAGAGTATACAATATATATGCACATATACAATACACCCACACACCCACACACAAAGTGTGTGTGTGTGTGTGTGTGTGTGTGTGTATTTGTTTGTTTTCTGAGGTTTTCATGGGTATTTGTATGTGGGTCTTTGGTTATTCGGGTTTTCTCCTGCGTAATATTGGAAGTATTTTGTTGACGTTTCGACGAAATCTCATTCATCATCTTCAGGCTTGTGTCTTCGGCTTTGTGCTTCTTGGAGTAATGTGAGCTTGCAGTTGTTTTTTCTTTTAACTGCCAGTGGGAGTGCGACTTGATTGGGTCGGGGCTTGGCTGAGTTCTGATTGGGTGGAGGGGGTGTTCTCATTGGTTGGGGGCCTAGCTGTGATCTGATTGGTTGGAGGGTTGGCTGTGTTCTGATTGGCTGGAGGTGTGTTCTGTTCAGGTGGGGGCTTGGCTGTGCTCAGGTTAGCCTTAGTTGTCGGGGGATTTGAGCTGGTGAGCTGTGATCCTGTTGTTTGGCTTCGCATTCGTGGTCGTGCCACATCTTCATGTTGGGCGTCAGTTCGCTTCAAGTATGGGTTGGAGGGGTTTGAAGTGGGTAGTGATGCAGCTGCGGTACGGCTTTTGGTCCGTGATCATGTCTCATCATCTGTGTGGATGTGAATCTGCTTTCTACATGGAAGTGTGGTGGTAGCATCCTGTGTGGAATTTGTGGATGGGTCTGGTGTCATTCTTCATGTTAGGTACTCTTTCGTTAATGAGGGCGGGTTTCCAAATGGCTGGTAGGCGGGAAGTATCATCTTGTTTATTCATGCTATGTGGGTGTTTTTTTATCTCTATGGCTTCTCTGATTATTCTGTTGTTGAAGTGTTGAGTTTTGGCGATAGTTCTGGTATTTTTAAAGTCAATCTCATATCCTGTGGCTTTGAGGTGCTGGACCAGGGAAGAGACCTAGACCAAATCAACAAAAATCTCCTCACACTTCACCTCAGACTCAGCAACAAGATTCACCCCGCACTTTGGGACAAATCCAAACAACTTGCTGTCTGGAGAGCCAAAACACAGACCACCCTCAAGACAGATACACACACCAACAAACTCAGAAAACTACAACAACGCCAGAAACAAACTCCTCCCCCCTCACATCCACACATGAAACAAACAGTGCACAACATCTCAAACAAGATCCTCTCCAAAGCTGAAACCAATGTCCTTTCAAAAGGATTCAACTTTGCTGTCACTCCCAAACACATCCCCACAGAAACCATTATATGCGAAGTTGAAACCAGCCTGACCAAAACCAACTCTGATGATGCTAACGGAATCAGACTCGAAATCATCAACATCCTTTGCACCAGCAAACCACCCAAAAGCAACTTATCCAAAGAAGAACAAACTGTACTACTTAACCTGAAAGAAGACACCAGCATAATAATCCTACCAGCAGACAAGGGCAATGCGACAGTGGTTATGAACTCATCTGACTACCAAACCAAGTTAACCAACCTACTCCAAGACCCCACATACAAACCCCTAAAGACAGACCCCACCACCTACCTAGAAAAAATCACCAGATCCAAAATAAAAGCCTCCCCCATCAGCGAAGAAATCCAGCAAAGAATCATACCCAGAGAGAAATCATCCAGATGCCCTAAGCTTTATGGTCTCCCCAAGATACACAAAGAAGGAACCCCACTTAGACCAATAGTCAGCTCCATAGGCTCACCTCTACAAAACCTAGCCAAATTTCTCACCAAACAACTACACCCCTATGCAGAATCCATCAACTCACACGTAAGAAACTCATTCCAGTTCATTGAGATCATAAAGAAACAAAACTTACAGCCCAGCGACCTACTAGTGAGCTTCGATGTCATATCCCTCTTCACCCAAGTGCCAATAAAAGAAGCCTTGATAGCCATCCAAAACAAATACAACCCCGCCAAGCACATCCTAGATCTGACCAACCACTGCCTATCCAATACATACTTCACCTACAATGGACAAAAATACAAACAAATAGAAGGAGCACCCATGGAATCACCCCCTCACCTGTCATCGCAAACCTCTACATGGAACACTTTGAAACACAAGCTCTAGAAAAATATGATCACAGACCCAAACTCTGGCTCAGATATGTAGATGACACCTTCATAATTTGGCCGCACAGGAAAGAAAAACTGAACAACTTCCTCACACACCTCAACAGCCTACACCCCAAAATACAATTCACCATGGAAACAGAAGCTAACAATCAACTTCCCTTCCTAGATGTCTTAGTATACAAAAAATCCAATGGCTCCCTAGGACACACCATCTACCAGAAGAAAACACATACAAACCGCTATCTACACACACGCTCACACCACCGCCCAGCACGGCTCAATTCCGTAGCCAAGACACTCATCTCCAGAACAAAATGCCTAGCCAACGAACAACACCTAAAAACCGAACTACACACTCTCACTAACGTACTAACAGCCAATGGATTCCAAAGAAAGATTACCCACCTAGTCCAAAAACAAACCCCAACCAAAATCCAAGACAGAGAACAAGAGAACGGCAAAGCCCTCCTCCCATATATAAAAGGCAATACAGACAAAATGAGCAAGATCCTCCAAAAACACAACATTAAGACAGCATTCTGCACAAATAGAAAAATATCCACCATCCTAAGAAACCCTAAAGACAGAATCAAGTTAGAAAACCAAGGAGTATACAAAATCCCATGCACCACCTGCCCCAACACATACATCAGACAAACCAACAGAAGAATTAGTGCATGCATTGAAGAACACAAGAACTCACTCAAAAAAGAAGAACCGACCTCTTCCCTGGTCCTGCACCTCAAAGCCACAGGTCATGAGATTGACTTTAAAAATACCAGAACTATCGCCAAAACTCAACACTTCAACAATAGAATAATCAGAGAAGCCATAGAGATAGAAAAACGCCCACACAGCATGAATAAATGAGATGATACCTCCCACCTACCAGCCATTTGGAAACCCGCCCTCATTAACAAATGAGTACCTAACATGAAGAATGACACCAGACCCACCCACAAATCCCACACAAGATGCTACCACCACACTTCCACGTAGAAAGCAGATTCACACCCACAGAGATGATGAGACACGACCACGGACCAGAAGCCGTACCGCAGCTGCATCACTACCCACTTCAAACCCCTCCAACCCATACTTGAAGCGAACTGACGCCCAACATGAAGATGTGGCACGACCACGAATGCGAAGCCAAACAACAGGATCACAGCTCACCAGCTCAAATCCCCCAACAACTAAGACTAACCCGAACACAGCCAAGCCCCCACCTGAACAGAACACACCCCCAGCCAATCAGAACACAGCCAACCCCCCACCCAGTCAAGTCGCACTCCCACTGGCAGTTAAAAGAAAAAACAGCTGCAAGTTCACATTACTCCGAGAAGCACAAAGCCGAAGACACAAGCCTGAAGATGACAAATGAGATTTCGTCGAAACGTCGCCAAAATACTTCCAATTTTACGCGGGAGAAAACCCGAATAACCAAAGACCCACACATATATATAAATAAATAAATTGACAGATGATGCTGTTAATATGAGTCTGCACTACATCCTACAACATCTTGAATCTCCAAAGACCTACGCAAGGGTCCTCTTTCTAGACTTCAGCTCAGCATTTAATACCATCATTCTAGACAGGAAGCAACAGGTAAAGCTAGGCAAAAATCACATCAGTTACCTGTACAATTAGCACAGGGATGTGTGCTCTCTCCACTTCACTTTATATACCAATGACTGCATCTCAAAAGATCCCTCTGTTAAAATACTGAAGTTTACAGATGATGCAACAGTGATTGGTCTCATTCGAGACAATGATGAATCTGCATACAGACAGGAGGTTATACAACTTGCCTCGTGGTGTAACCGGAACAATCTGGAACTGAACACACTCAAAACCATAGAAATGTTGATAGATTTTAGAAAAAAACTCCTATACTATCACCTCTTAAAATACTAGACAACACAGTATCAACAGTAGAGACCTTCAAGTTTCTAGATTCTATCATATCTCGGGACTTAAAATGGACAAAATGTCATCAAAACAGCACAACAAAAAATGTTCTTTCTGCGCCAACTCAGAAAGCTCAAACTATCCAAAGAGCTGCTGATTCAATACTACAGAGGAATTACTGAGTCTGTCAACTGCACCTCTATAACTGTCTGGTTTGGTTCTGCAACCAAACAAGACAGATAACAGACTTCAACGGATAATTAAAACTGCAGAAAAAACTATTGCTACCAACTTGCCTTCCATCGAGAACCTGTATACTGCCTGAGTCAAAAAGAGGGCAGTGAAAATCTCTACAGACCCTTCACATCCTGGACATAAATTGTTTCAACTTCTACCCTCAAAATGATGCTATAGGGCATTGCACACCAGAACAACTAGACACGACATTTTTTTCCTTAATGCCATTACTCTGCTAAACAACTAATTCCCACAACACTGTCCAACTACTTACTAAGACTGTATTACTGTTATTCTTCTCATCCTTCCTAGTACCTATCTCTTCCCACTTATGACTATAACCATGTTGCTTGTACCTTTACAATTTATATTGTTTTATATGTTTCCCAGTATGATTTGATTGCTTATTAGTAACCTATGACGGTCAATAAGTTTGTATCTATGATTCTTGATGAATGTATTTTATTTTTTCTTTATAAGAGCATATGCATCAAAGACAAATTCCTTGTGTGTCCAATCACACTTGACCAATAAAGAATTCTATCCTATCTATCTACCTAAAACATTTTTAATTACAAGCAATCCTTGACTTTTGACCATTTGCTTAGTGACTGTTACAACAGCAGTGGAAACAAATGGTTTATCACCAGTCCTTGCACTTACAACCATCACAGTGTTCCCACAGTCACATGAACATAATTTGGGCACTTGGCAACTGATGTGTATTTATGACAGTTGTAACATCCCAGGCTCACGTGTTCACAGTTTGCAACTTTCCTAGCTGGCTTCCAACAAGCAAAGTCAATGTGGAAAGCCTGATTCACTTTAAAAAGCTTGTGATTCAATTAACAAACATGGTGGTTCACTTAACAGCCACAGTAAAATAGATTGGAAGTGATTTACGTAACAACCTCTCACATAGCAATGGAAGTTCCGGTCCCAATTTTATTACGATTATCACTTGAGGATTGTCTGCATATTGTTGTCTAGCATCTCATAGCCATTCAGTTGGGCAGAAGGGAGTCAGCCTTGTCTTACTTTGATCAATTGTCAACTCTCTGTATTGAATCAAGGTGATGCTGCTCCTTTGACATATTTTTGGTTCCCACCAGGGATCTACATCTTAGATAGGCGTTTCCGGGGCTTGGACGAATCGTGCACGCAGTTGACTTCTTTCCTCTACAGCTTCTGCCAGCAGTCGCGGCGGCAGCGCATTATCCAGAGAAACCGTACAGAGAGGCTTTCCGATCTCCTGGATTGGAAATATCTAGGAAGGGTGAGCTTTTCTTTCCACCATGTCATGTCATTGTGATAGTCTTCCTCCTCCTCCTCTGCTCTTTGGCATTTCATCTGCTTTATTGTAATTCCCATGTTTGCCCCAGAGGCTGTATAGCGCAAATATTACTTTATTCATTTTTTCACTAATGGGCCTTTCATGCTCAACAAGTCCTTTAATATGATGGTAACTTGTCTTCTCTGCTCCGTGCAATTTCCTGGAAGCAGAAATAAATTTGAGGACAGATCAGGAATATCACCAGCTTTTGGGAGGGATCAGGAGATTATAGGAGGTAGTACAAACAGTTATGTGCATAATTATTTATTTACAATTTATAAAGTCTCCAAGAAGTTTTTCCCAGCCTATAACAAGGCTAGTGTCAAATTATTCTCATCAATGCATCTTTGAAAAGTTGGGTATGGTAAAAGTTTCTTGAAAGGGTTTTGTTCCCAATATGTTCTGGTTCGTGTCAGAACGCAACTCTGCATTTGAAGTGATTGGATTAGTTTTCTTTCTTAAAGTAAAAATAAATTCAGAAAGGAAAAATGTTTACTTTATAAACTATCATTATTAAATATTTCTTTACTTAAAGAGTAAATTTCATATACAGGTCCTGAGTGCCTAATTTAGAGAAAATCTAGCTCAAATGAGGAAGAAAAATTCTTGTTCACCTTAACTTTATAAATGAAGTCCTTAAAGCAAATGAGCATGATAGATGCATATGCCTGTGGGAACTGCTATTCACACCGGAGGCAATCCTATGCATGTACTCCCCTAAATGAGAACTTAATAACTGGAAGTTTCCTCATACAATACTACCTCAACTTAGGACCATTCATTTAGCAACTGTTTGAAATTATAACAGTGCTGGAAAAAGTGACTTACAACCACATTTTACAGTTTTATAGTTATGACCATCCAAGTATCCCTGTGGTCACATGATCAGAAGCCAAACACTTGGCAACTGGCATGGTTTTGTGTCAGTTGCAGCATCCCACCCCCACCCCAGTGAAGGGAAACTGGATTCAATTAGCAACCATGTGATTCACTTAACAACTGTGGTCATTCAGTTAAGGACCATAGCAAAAAAGGTCATAAAATTGGACCCAGCTTAACATCACCTTGCTTAGCGACAGAACTTCTTTTTTTGTAAAAAAAATTATTTGGGTTTTCACAAAACATAATGCAAATAAAATTGGGAATAGCATGATCCCGGGTTGCATGATTTTTTGAGAATAGCATGATCCCAGGTTGTCACTTTTCCATACAGACACAAACTCAATTTCATATTCTTCTTTGTATTCTATTCCATATCTTATTACTATTTTAGCATTTTCTCAGTGATTTTTCCCTTCCCTTACTTTTCTCAACCTTGTTTTTAATTATCTCATTCCTTTCTATGTTCCATTACATCTCTCGTTCTAAGTTTCAATATCTCTCTAATCATTATATTTATACTTTTGTCTGTCCTGTTTCAATTTCATATTTTCTTTTCTCATTAAACAAGTTTTCCCCTGTAGTTACTGATTGGAGTATGACACCTTTGTATCTTTTAATTTTTCTCCATTCAGATTTTATTTAAACTTCAATTTATGCCTTTACAGTTACAACATTCAATATCTAACCTCTATTTTATAACACATAACTTTGGCCCATCGAATTATGCTTGGTACATTCTTAAAATACACACTAAATTCTTAAAGACATAAAATACTCATTCTATTCCAATTCGGCTCAACCATTAATGTTAGTTACAATCTTCCATTAATATTAATTAAAATATTTAACATTTCTTTTTAATTAAATATCATACTTCCTTAGGAACACTTGTAACATTTCCATATTTTTTTCATATTTCTTTCATATTTCTCTTCATTTACATTTTTATAAATCATTAATAACAATTAAAATGTTCCCATCCTTTCTTAATTTTATTCTCTCATTCTCTTTATTTCATTTATTTATTAAATATTCCATTCCATTACAATGACTATCATTTTAATCACACTTGTTTCATATTTTCAAAGTTCATTTCTATTTCTAATATAACAATACTATCTTATGTACCCTTGCAGAATCCTCTCTTTCAATTAAATTTTCACCCATTATCTCTATGTCTTCTAAATAGGCTTATACCTTTAATCCTTATATGTTTTCTCTGTTTCTCTATGTCCTGTTTCTGTCCTTTATAATTTCTATTCCTTTCCCTCTTCCCCCTCTTCTTCTCCCTTCCCTTTTTGACCTCTTCTCTCTCTAATTCTGATTCTCTCTTCTGTAATCCTCTCTTCTGTTTCTTCCTAATATTGTAATTGCTTTTCAAACTATTCTTTTTTGGTTGTTTTTTCAAATCTTAAATTTTTCACTCTCTTTCCCCTTTCCTTCCCCCCCCCCACATAGCATTTCTTGATCATTTAAGATGCCTTCTTTTTTGTCCCGCCCTTCTTGTTCTTCAAGCATTTCTTGCTGTTTCTCATAGTTCAAGATCTCCATTTCTAAAAATTGAAATACAAAGCTAAAAAAACCTCTTCCTTCTTGTGCATCTTCTTTCGGTTTTTTAAGTTCCATTTTCAGTTCTTCCAAGGGTGATGCCACTTTAAACACTTTTAAACAACCACTCGATTGAGTTTAGTCATTTAAATCCAATAACCAAAAATCCAAAAATCACCAGGTAATCCAAATAATCCAAGGCTGTTTCTTCTTGTTTCTTTTTTCCACTTTCTCTTCCTGGGGTTCTATTATCTTGTTACAAAGTTTCAGTTAGAATGTATTTTTTAGGAATCTTGTTAAGGTTTCACTGTTAATTCCTTTTACTTCCAGGTGGTCTCCATTTTTCCAGATCCCACCCTTTTGTTTTTTCCTTTTCTCTCCTTCTTTTAAAAGTTTTTAAATATCCAAGAAATCTTTATTATCCCTTTGACATTTTATTTTCAGTTTGAATGCCTATTAATGTCAAAGTGAATTTTTTTTCAATTTCTTACTTAAGTCTCTTAGCTGCCAGTATGGGGAAGGAAAGGAAAAAAAACCCAAATCTTTTCTCTTCTCACTCTCCTTCGCCGCTTTAGAAATCTTCTTTGGGAATAATGTTATTCTTTATAGTTCAAATACCAAGGTACCTTATATTTTTGCTTTTTGAGTTCAACCCGGTCAGTCAAATCTTTCTCTTCTTATCTTCCTCCTGCGCAATCTTTTCCAGTCAGGTTCTTCTTTGAGGTGGCCATTTCCGACCATGGCTGCAGCCGCCTTCAGGAAAGGGAGTAATGGCCAGCTGGGGAGGAGAGATGCGGCTCTTCTCAACCCTGCTGGTGGTCTCTTCCCTCTTCACCACCTCTACGGGGTGGCTTAGCCCCGAATCCAGCCAGGTCAGGGCACTCCAGCAGCGAGCACAGATCAAAACCAGTTTGGGCTTCTTCGGCAACACCAAAATACTTAGCGGCAGAACTTCTGATGCCTATTCTGGTCACAACACTAGGACTACCCGTATTTTCATTATAAGAAAAAGGTTATTGTAGATCTACTGATCTAGTGTCTTCTTCAAAATAATTCTTTTTTAAATGGAAAGATATATTTCTATAGGAAAGAATTCCAACCCACAAGCTGCTATATGAAGGGATGTTGCTGCAAACATGAATTACTTTCATTTATTCAGAAATATGCAACGTCTTATTGTTTTGATGTTTATGAAGCCTTCATTGTGGGGCACAAAGTTCATTTATCCCTAAAATCAAAGGGAAGTTAAACAAACAGTTAAAAATACTGTAACTTGCCCTTATCCCTCACCTCTCTCTTTTCCACAATTATCTTGCAATTCAGGAGGCGATCTGGCATTTGTCAATTTGCTGGATACCTTTTTGTAAAGCTGGCAAAGTTGCCTCTGTTCCACCACCTTCAGAAAAGAAAATTGGGAGGTGGGGGAAAAGAACTCCATGTGGGGAAGACAGACACCATGTTTCGATCTCATCCAACATTTGTTTTGAGCCTTATCAACTCATGGTAGCCATGGATTTCAAAGAGACCTTCTATCCAGCGGCCCCCAGCCTTTTGGATACCAGGGACCAATTCCGTGGAGAGAGGTTTTTCCGTGGACATGCTACCTACATCCCGCAGATGTGGCTTTGTTGTTTGCACAGCCTGGTTTCTGGCATGCCGCAGTTCAATGCCAGTCCACGGACTGGAGGTTGAGGAACCTTGGGTTACACAAATGCAAATGTTCCAAAGGTGCTTTTTAGGAGGCACCTGGACTTTGCATCCAAGAAGCTTCTTCACTTCTGACTGGATGGTGGGAAACGGAAGGATTTATATTCCTTGCAGACAGCTGGTCATTTGCACTCTATTTTAGAGAGTCACCGAGGCCACTTGGAGGTTTGTCTGTGTCCTCGGGGTTGACCTGAGTATTGCAAATGGGTGTGGAGTCTTCTTGGCTGCGGGATTTTTTTCTACCCCGTGTCCCTTCAATTGTTGCAGACAGGCTCAGGCTGTTGGGGATGAGTCTGTGTTGACTGCATCTCAAACTGAAGTACAAATGGTTCCTGTAGTCTGCAGTTTTTCTGGAAATCCATTCATACTCCCACACCATTCAGTGCTCAAAAAAAAGCAAGAAAGTCCAGTTGCCTCTTGAAAAAGCACCTTTGGGACAACCATGACCTATCCTGGATGACTGTGAATCTCCATAAACAGATGCAAATGCAACGTAAGAATTGAGCCGCCCAGGGCAAAGTACGCCACAGCTTAAGTGTAGGTATGGTGAAAACTCCCCTGCTTACCCTCATCAGCCACCACCACCCCTTCCTTCCACCTATCAAAGAACCTGAATGTAGAGAAACCTGATACCATCAACTCTTGAAGACAGAAATCAGATTTGCAACTAAATTGATGGTTCTGCAGTTCTGGGCCCAGGAGGGAATCTTTTCCACGTGTTTTGGAAACCAGAAGTGTGTTGACTGCCTGAATGATAACAGATTATGTTGCTTGCCATGGGAATGGGAAGAAATTCAGCAGTGGGGGCAGAATCTAGGTGTTCATTTTTTTCCCTTTTCTCCTACCATACTCTTCTTTGCAGTATTACATGTATGCCCGGCACATGGCTCTCGCAAAGGCCTTCCCTGATAACTTCACCTATGAGCCACACGAAACAACTGCGGTAAGTGAGGTCCCTCGTGGGAGACGAAAGAGACATAAGCCTTATATGGGGTCCCCTTACAACTTGATTTACAACTGTTCATTTAGTGAACATTCAAAGTTATAATGGCATTGGGGGGGGAAATGACTAAGACCGATCCTTGCACTTATAATGGATGCAGCATCTCTGCAGTCACATGATCAAAATTTGGTTGCTTGGCAACTGGGGTGTGTTTACCAGAGTTGCAACATCCCAGGGTCATGTGAATGCCATTTGGGACCTTCCCAGCTGGCTTCTGGCAAGCAAAGTAAATGGAGAAAGCCAGATTTGCTTAATGACCACAGGATTCACTTAACAATTGCAGGGTTTTTGCTTAAAAACCGTGGCAGAAAAAGGCTGTAGAATTGACTGAAACTCACTTAACAACCACCTTGCTTAACAGCAGAAATTCTGGTGTCAATTGTGGTTGTAAACCGAGGACTTTAAAATCATGTATCAGCTCGGATGATAGCCCACTACAGGTAGTCCTCGACTTACAATAGTTTATTTAGTGACCGTTCAAAGTTACAGTGGCACTGAAATATGTGACTTATGACCATTTTTCACACTTAAGGCCATTGTGGCATCCTTGTGGTCATGTGACCAAGAGTCAGTTGGCGTCTGACTCACATTTACGATGGTCGCAGTGTCCCAGGGTCGTGTAATCCCCTTTTGTGACTGTCTGACAAGCAATGGAGAAGCCAGATTCACTTAACAACCACATTACTAACTTAACAGCTTCAGTGATTCATTTAGCAACTGTGGCAAGAAAGGTCATAAAATGGGACAAAACTCACTTAACAACTGTCTTGCTCAGCAACATAAATTGTGGACTCAATTGTGGTCGTAAGTCAAAGACTACCTGTATCTAGAAAAAGATTTTACCTTGCTAAAACACCCTGAAAAGCGTTGAGGGGATTTGCGTTCTACTATTGATCACAAACTCCCAGCTGGGCAGAGGGAGCCTGTCCCAAATTTCTAGGATCTGTCCATTTATTTGAGCCAGTTCCAGTTGGTGAACTTCAAGGTTCTAATAAAAGTAGTTTCTGCTTCAGAAATGTCCATGAAGCTGAAAGTCCATGATGCAGATCTCAGTAACCCTCTTTCCAAAATTGTCCCTGAGTTATAAACTAGGCTAGAATGAGAAAATACAAGTAAATACAAGCGGCTAATGAAAGAGAATGCTATTTTGTTGATGTATCTGTTTGAATGTGGCCCTCCAGGGATCAGGGAAGGATATTGTAAAGCGGGGATCTCCAAACTTGGCAACTTTGAGGCTTGTTTGGGACTTCAACTCTTGGGTCCTGGCCCTCTCTCTCTGTTGCCTGGAGTGCCCTTGTCAAAGGCCAGATGTTGTTCTCATGTTGGAAAAATGGGCTAGAAGCTGAGATGCTGGTCCTGCAGAGAGTGATTTGAAAGGGGGAAAGAAAAGAGTTACGGGTTGAAGGCAGGAGGGGATGATGGCAAGAGACTCTGTGACGTTGATTGATTTTTCACCATTCTTCCCCACCCCCCCAATCCACTCTGTTCCCGACCTCAACCTTGCAGGCTCAGGGCTTCCGCTACCCACGCCCAGCCTCCGTCCCACCCTCTCCTTCCATCTCCCGCCACTCCAGCCCCCATCACAGCGAGACTGAAGAGGATGATGAACGGTACGACGAGGAAGAAGAGGCAGAAAAGGACAGGCAGAACATCAAATCCCCAGCCATGATGGGTACAGTCCCCGAGTGGCGAAAGCACTCCAAGAAGGGGTCTAGTGAGGCCAGCACTTCCTCTAATGCTAGTACCCCCACCCTCCCCAGCAGCCCTAGTGACCTCAGCAGCCCCACCAATTCTCTGATCGAAGAAAAAAATTAGGTAGGTAGGATGGTTGTGCTGACTCGCCTGCCTGCTCTTTTCCCACGCCTCCCCCTATCCTTCAAGAGCTTGTTAACTCGTGCTGCATTCTGAAATAAGCCTAGAGTGTAAGTTCTAGGGTGTTCCAGACAGAAGCTTTGGGGGCTCACGCTTGACATAGTTCGGTTAAAGGACAGCAAGACAGTCTTCTCTGGATCACAGAATGCCAAGGGTGGAGGATCTCTTCCTCTGGAAGGAGTCAGGAAGTGACCCATTGGCTCTTTTTGCAGAACACAAGATAACATCCTTGTGTTGAGCAAGAGTAAGAACGTAAGGTCATGCATTTCCTCCTCCCAAACACCCTCCATATGTTGCTGATGTTTTGGAAGGCCTTCTCAAGGCCTTGCTGAATTTTTTTTAAAAAAATAGTAATAATGGGAGAAAAGGGAAAATGGGAGGCCTTCATGGGAAGGACACAGGAAAGGTATTGTATTACCTCCCCTGCCCTGCCAACAAAGGTTTCATTGAACCACAAACAGAGCAGGCCTTTTAAAGGCTGCTCATAAAATGAGTGCATCTAATAATAATATTTTGTTGGGTAACCCTAGACGGTTGGCATGGAGGCCCGGTGAAGATGTATGCTCAGCAGGATTTCAGAATGATCTGGAGGACTATGAAAGACAGATTGTTGCTCAGAGTTGGAAACTTCTTTAAAAGCCATGACTCTGCTCTTTTTTAGGCAGAGAGAAAAAGAAAAAGAGGACGTTTCATAATATGTCCAGACAATCTTAATTCATACTTTGGGATTGTTTGCCAGTTAGCTGCTCTGTCTCTTTCTGTAAAGGAATTTGCGAAGCCATTTAGAGCAACGATTCTAACAAAAGGTTTTCTGAAAAGGGCAGCTAGAGAAAGAATTGAAAAAGTCCCCATGGGAGAGGATATAAATCCAGCTGGGAGAAAGAAGTAGTTTTCCTGCTTTATGATGTCCACCCTCCTGTTCTCCAGATGTGTTGGGGTTCAACTCCCATCATCCTCAACCCACATGGGCAGGGATCAGGGGAGGATATTCTAAAGCAGGGATCCCCAAACTTGGCAACTTTGAACTTGTGGACTTCCAACTCCCAGAATTCCTCATCCAGCCATGCATTTATATGACCTTCCAAGATACAAGAGGGCTTAGGAGCACCTTGACACATGAATTGCACTCCTACTTCCTCTGCCACATAAATTACAACTAGCAACGCTAATTCCTTTTCAACAGATTCTTTAAAAATAGTGGGTTTTAGGGCTGCTTGTGGAAGTTTTTTTTAAAAAGGAAAGTCTTCATCCCCATGGGCACTCAAGAGCACCCTAGAACAATTCCCAGGGTAGTGATATTCATTCTGCATAGACCATAATGAATTTCAGAAGACCGTAGGGTCAAGGCCAGCAGAATGGACTGCATGCTTAAAACCTCTGAAACAGGCTAGAGGAGAGTCTTCCAAAATAATGCATTTTGCTTAAGGATAGTAATAAATAGAGCTACCTTTCCAAGCTGGATGCCACAGATGTACGAGTCAACTTCATCCTAGCTAGGTTTCATGGGAATTGGAGTCTAGCATATACTGAGGATAAGCTAGCCCAAGGGTCTTCAAACTTGGAAAGTTTAAGACTTGTGAACTCCCAGAATTCCTGAGCTAACATGACTGGAGGAGGAATTCTGGGAGTTGAAGTCCACAAGTCTTAAAGCTGTCAAGTTTGAAGACCACTGAGCTAGCCTAAAACCCATCATTCTCCGGCATCCATCTTAATGAAAGAGAGAAAGAGTTCTAGAGTCCATTCACGTTGCCCATCATGTTAAACTCCCTTGCGGTTTCTGTTAGAATGCTTGGCTATCAACACTCTTAGACTGATTTGTTAGTTGCCTCTGAGAATCAGACAGAGCTGTTGAAGTGTCCCCATCCTATACTGTAATGTTTGTGATGAGGGTTTTGCTGACGACGCAGTACAGAACAGTGTGACCCTGCATCAGGGATGATGTAGCTATGACCAAAGCAGGTATTATAGTGCAGACAGGCAACAAAGAAATGTTCCTGGAGGCTGGGAGGCTTAATTAGCTGTTATGTGGATAATACCCACCCTAGCATGAGAGGCAACTACCTCAAAAGGCAGAACAGATGCCAACACCCTCAAGAACCCTTTCTATTCTGCTTCTCCTGCCAATTTTATTTTTCAATACGGAAAACCATTTAAAAAATAGTAATCTTGTGAATTTCCTTTCTCACAATTCTGTGATGCAATCATGCATGAAGAACCTGGTATTTTTGGATGCAGCCCTGCAAATTCCTGGCCTGCTTGGCTCTAAACTTGGGGAGACAGTTTTAACAGAGCAGGACATCGGTTTGGGCCTTAAACCCCTTTTCTCTTTTCTCCAACTTTCCCCATCTAGATTTTTATTTATAGATGTCAAAAAAAAAAAAAAAAGCTTGAATTTTGTTTTGTCTCTTTTTTTCCTTCCCCTCTGTGTGGAAAAACAGACTATGAAGAAAATGATTTCAGAATAAAGTTTGCTTTGGAAATAGTTTTGAAAAATGGGAAGTGTGCCTTGTGCTGCAGAAAAAGCTCTTCTGAATCTGCTGACTTTTAGATCCTTGTCCGAAATAGCCATTGCAAATAATAGTCACTAAATGCTAATGCCTGCTGGATTGCTGATGATAGCACTGGAAAAGTAGTCCTGTCTTAGGAAGAGATGGCCATGATTCAAAAGGGGGTATCTCAGAGTTAACACAATTGATTTGCATGCTGCAGGCTCAAGATTCTGCCTTCACCCCTAGTTCCAAGTATCTTGTTGAGAACACAGTACACAAATTACTTTCTGATGGGTGTATTAACTGTGACCTTTTTATATGCAGATGGGGAAACCAAAGTACAATTCTAAATGCTTAACACCTAGGCACAAAACATATTTGCCCATTTAAATTAACTCAAATCTTAAACTTCATTGCAATTTCAAATTTTGCAATCAGAATGTCTTCTAGTACTTCTAGTCTTCTAGTACTTGAAGAGCTCTCACACAGAAGAGGAGGGGGTATCAATCTGTTCTCTGAAACACCTGAGGGCGGGACAAGAAGTAATGAGTGGAAAATTATTAAAGAGATACAGCCTAGAACTAAGGAGAAATTTCCTGACAGTGAGAATTAATCAGTGAAATTGCTTGCCTCCAAAAATTGTTTGTGCTCAGTCATGGATGGTTTGTAAGAAGAGATTGGTCAGCCAGGTTGTCAGGAATAATCTGCTTGAGCAAAGTGTTGAATGAAAAGGCCAAGGCCTCTTAGATCAGGGGTCCCCAAACTTGGCAACTTTTAAGACTTGTGGACTTCAACTCTGGCTGGAGAATTCTGGGAGTTGAAGTCCACAAGTCTTAAAAGTTGTCAAGTTTGGAGACCTGCTTTAGATAAGCAGAATTGAGATTGAGTTTGCAAAATGCAGGAAGCATCGACACTGGAAGCTGCAAACAACAACCACACACAGCCTCCTTTGTGAGCGCTAACTATATAAGCATCCTACAGGTCCACATTCTGCACTGAGTTGGTAACAGGATTCCTTCTGACCACCATTGATGTAAATTAGCAGTGTAACTTCTTGCAACCTGGTGGGCACAATATACAGATGCCATAATAAGTGAAAGAAATTTAAAATCCTCACTAAAAGCCAGCCAAAAATTTTTTTTTTACCAGTATTTGTGATACAGCTGTTAATTTTTTCTGCATTCCTTCCAGTTGCACATGGCTGTTACCTCAAATCTTCCATTAACAGTAAATGGACTTTATGTTATAGGAGCATTGCATGTTTGACTTAGACGCTGGTTATGTATGTTCACTGGTCACTATTTGTGATTGGATCCTGGATTAAACAATCCTTAATCTAGTGCAACAGTTGCCAAACCATTATGAAAAACAACCATATCGATTAACTATACCATTCCCCCAATTATATACACATGCACAGGATATAGTGCTTAATGCCAAGTTTATTTAATGCCAGTTACAGACTCAGCTCCTTTCCCCCCCCCAAAAAAAAATGGATAGGGGTACAGAGGCCATATTTATTGAGCAGTCAGCTTTTAATACATTTAAGGCTGTAGGAGCTGGGAGGGAGTCAACACCTCTAGGCTCAGTCACTGGATTCGCCCAGAGTGAGACGGTCAAACAGGTATTCCCCAAGGCCTTCCTCCTGGGCACGCACACGCTTCAGGTTGGTTACATGGTCTCCCAGCTTCTTGATCAACTTCACCTCCTCATCCAAATAGTGAGTCTCCAAGAAGTCACAAAGCTTAGGAAAAGAAAGGAGTTTTAATTCAAGGATTCCACAGGAAAAGCTCACCTATATTACACAGTGCAAGGGTTAGAAGGACTAATGCCTGTCGATCATTCAATCTATCAGGAACTAGAAAGAATCTCAAAATCAGCTGATCCTATCTTCTACCAATATAAAAAGAAAGAAAGAAATCCACTGCATTCTTGATAGTTGGCCAGCTGGCATCTGCTTAACCTTGTTTTGGGGCAATAGGAATGTAGAACACAGATACACCATGCAAAGAACTCAGTCATAACACCCTTAAAAATTGAAAGCAGGTTTTGAGCTCTTCAAAGAGGGGGATGCATCTACGGCATGTCAATCATAGTTCAGCAGCCATCCTAGCTAGGTAGCTTGGGGAACTCATAATATTCAGATGTTGCACAATCTCAACTGCCCCCAGGAAATTTTACCACCCAGCTTAACCAATGGGGAATGTTTCTTGCAGCTGGAGACTTGCAGGCTCTCCATCCTTCCTTCCCTAATTCTAATCCTGTGTGAATGTGCCCAAAACAAAGTTTGACAAGTATAATTAAAAATGTATTATTCCAGGATACCTTGGTGGGCGTTACTGTAATAGAAAAATGGGACTGAACCTAACCCCGCAAACCTTCTCCTGTCAGCTTACATGAGGGTCTGTATGGCGTGAAGCAACTTGGTGCAAATCCAGCAGGGCCTGGTTCAGGGTCTTCTCCAACTTCAGGGCAGCTTCCATGGCACTGATTCCATTCTTCCATTCATCTTGTTCTGGTTTCTGGAGCATTAGAAAGAGTTAATCATGTCTCAGTTGCACTACACTTACCCGTATGTCCCCAATCGGCCGACCACTGGTTTCATTCAACCTCTCTGTGCCCCAATGTACTTTCCCCGTTCTCACCTTAACATCCTGCAGGACAACTCTTCCCCCACGGCGGTTCTGGAAAGTCAAGAATTTTTCCGCTTGTTCATGCTTCTCCTCTGACAGGTGGTGGAAAAAGGAGGCAAACTTGGACAGTGCCACATCATCCCGGGTATAGTAATAACTCTGGGCAGAAGAAAGAAAGAGTTTAGAACTGGCACAGGTTTAAAGTTGCTTTTATACTCAAGCTTCTGAAGGATTATCACTTACAGTCACTACTGCCTACCAAGAGCCAGCCTCCTTTTAATATAATTCACATATTGTGCTACGTTATGACATAGTTTTTTTAGGCTTGGTTTTATTGTCTGAATTTGGTCACTATGATGTATAAATCATCGTCCAGATTTTAGCATGCTACATTCCCAAATGCTGGTGGTTTCAATCCAGCATGCTTCTCACATCCCAGGTTGGAATCAACAATGCAATTAGGGTTTAATAAGACCCCAAAATAAAATAATAGATTCGTAACTAATCTGTAAAGCCCAAAAGCCTATTATTTGAAATTTACATAACCATATTTTGCAGCTGTATCTTATTTTGGGGGTTGCATGAGTTACACTATCTAGAGTCACTTTTTTTAAAATGACATTGTTTTACATACTGGCTTGCAGCCAATCCACAGTGATGGTTTGCAGCTCTGCCTTTCCCCCTCCCCAAAATCCCGAGAAAACCAAAAGCTAGAACAAATAAATATATCATAGTTTGAATTCCATATTCAATGAAGTAATTCATTTCCATGATTACAGCAGATCTGTAGTTGATGCATAAATGAGCAGTTGCCTGTATGTGTTATTTAACTATCACTTTAGCAAGAAAACTGGATACATTCTGGAAAAGCATTAATCAGCAGTGATATGAATACATGAACCCAATGTAAGAATTGCCTAATTCATCCCCGACCAGCAGCATTTTGAACTGAAGTCCTTTTAAAGTTCCTGCTATATACCATATGGATGGACCACAAGTGTTGGTTAGAAAGGAGAGACTTATGGGTATCTAGAAAAAAAAAGTTTGGTTATTTGCTTCTAAAATATGGTAGTTCAAAATTTTAGTATCAATAACCAAAATGTTCTATTTATGGCTTAATATATTGTGAAAACCTGCCTACTGTGGTTTATCAACTAGAGGTTACGGCTAACCAAACTTAACTGCTGCCATACACAAAAAATCATGGTTAAATCTTAGCCAAAATGCCCATTGCCCCTTCCTCAGCTTATCAGTCCAGACTTTTTTCTAGTTTTTGTACTGATAAGGGAGTTTGACATAATCAAATCATTAACCTCGTCTCTCCCTTAAAACCATTCTAGAGGATGCAACAATGGGTAAACATGAAGAGATGGACTTTGTATCAAAACAAATTGCATAGAGCTCCTTCCTTGCCAAAACCAAGTACACAGCAAGGACAAACAACAGGTATCTTGTTTACAGGGCAAAAAGGACTATTTGCCATGGTACTTTCCCTAACCTTCTGGTAGTGGGATACAATTTCCATAATTCCCAACCAGAACAAGCCTCTGTGTGTGTGTGTGTGAAAAGGCACATCTGCACAGCATTTAAAAACAGGAGTATGTATATATAATTAATGAGGCTTATCAAGCATCTCAAAAGGAGCTGCCGGTCATATGATTGACGTGAAAAAGAGCTCACGCAACTTATGGACTCTGCCCTCTAAAGGATTTCAGCAGGTTTTCAGCCAGCAGAATCAGAATACTTAAACGGATTGAAAGCAGAGGACAAAGAAATCTACAGCGGTTAGTATAGCCCCACAAAAAGAGGATGGGGATGATGGGACTTGAAGTCCCACGCATCTGGGGATGCAGGGTGGGGAAGATTAGCTTCATGGCTAATAAATAAACTACCCCCATGAAGAAAGCCTTTTCTCTTTCTCCTGTAATGCCAAGTGAACAGAAGAGCAGAGCTGCTGGAAAACTCTGCTTAGGTCTCCATGGTTACCGCAAAAAAAGAAAAAAGCAGAGGGTGAATTTTCTAGAGAAAGAAAGGAGGCGAGAGGCCCATCTAAAACCAGAGCCTCCGGTGGAGGAAGGACTGGGGCTGGAGTGGGGGCAGTGTTTTTCTTACGCACTTTATAAACAGAAGCAGCCAGGCTCGAGGGATGTAAAAAAAAGGACTCGCTGGGTGGGGCTATGGAACACAATAGCCCAATACAACACACACACAACAGTCCGCCATCCCGGACTACAGGAAAGCGCAGTATTTTTGCTAGTTACTT